AATTCTGAAGTTAGAAAGCGTGGCATAGGCTCCTCGCACAATATTCTTTATGTGGTCCTCAAGTGATAGTTTTCTATCTAGAACCACCCCTAGATCTCTTTCTTTATCAGAATTCTTTAAAGATTTCTCACATAATATATAGGTTGTGTGGGGTCTATGTTCTCCTATTCCACTTTCAATAACATGGACTCTAGGTGGACCGGCTCCCGCTCGGCCGACCGGGAGCCGGTCGGCTGAGCAGACAGCACGCATGACTTGTGATCCTGTGGTCCTGGGGCGAGGCGAGAAATAATGGGCAGAGTTTCTTTCACCCTATGCCCCTGTTACCTAGCAGTAAAATAGGTACCTGGGTGTTAGCCAGCTGTCACGGGCTGCTTCCTGGGGGTGGAGGCCTGGTCGAGGACTGGGCCGCGGGGACACTAAAAAGCCCCAAAATCATCTCAAGATAACCTCAAGATGGCATTTATTAACATTAAATTCCATTTGCCAAGTGGTGCTCCAGATACTTATTTTGTCCAGGTCATCTTGAAGGGCATGACAATCATCTAAGTTTCTTATCCTTCCTATTATCTTAGCATCATCAGCAAACATGTTCATATAATTCTGTATACCAACTGGTAGATCATTTATGTACACAATAAACATCACTGGTGCAAGAACTGAACCCTGTGGTACTCCACTTGTGACATTTCTCCAGTCCGATACATTGCCTCTGATCACTGCCCTCATTTTTCTATGAGTCAGAAAATTTTTCATCCATGTTAGTAGCCTACCTGTCACCCCTCCAATATTTTCCAGTTTCCAGAACAACCTCTTATGTGGAACTCTGTCGAAAGCCTTTTTTAGGTCCAGATAGATGCAGTCAACCCAACCATTTCTTTCCTGTAATATCTCTGTAGCTCGATCATAGAAACTAAGTAAATTCGATACACAGGATCTTCCAGATCGAAAACCATACTGTCTGTCTGATATTATATCATTTCTCTCCAGGTGTTATACCCATTTAGTTTTAATTATTTTTTCCAATATTTTGACTATTACACTTGTCAATGATACCGGTCTATAATTAAGGGGGTCGTTCCTGCTTCCACTTTTGTAGATTGGAACTATGTTAGCCTTTTTCCACACATCAGCTACAACTCCTGTAAACAGGGATGCCTGAAAAATCAGTTGAAGAGGAATGCTGAGGTCAGGTGCACATTCACTCAGAACCCATAGTGAAACTCCATCTGGACCAACTGCTTTGTTCTTATTTAGCTCCTTGAGCTAAATAAGTGGGTACGATTGGACGTGGTTGAAATGACGATGTCCCTCAGGTGGGTTTCTCATCTGTTCCCAGTCCTGAAACACGACTGCGCAGACCTGAGGTTCATTTTGGACTTGTTCCGTCTGAACCCCGGGGTCTTTTGCGCCTCCTTTCAGATGATTACTCTGTCCCAGGTCCAGTCTCTCATGGAGCCAAGTGCTTGGATGGTATCCCTGGACCTCTGGGACATGTATTGGCACGTCCCTATTCATTCAGGATTCAGGGACTGGCTTGGTTTTGTTGTGGGGTGTCTCGGTTACCGCTGTCGTTGCCTTCCTTTCCACTTGAACCTGGAACCTTGCATGTTTACAAGCTTTACCAAGGTCGTGGTGGCCCGTCTGTGTCTGTTAGGGGTTCAGGTGCTGGTTTTCCTCGACGGCTGGTGTGAACTCCCAACCAGTCTGCGTGTCTGCACACCAAGGATTTGATTCTTTCCCAGCTCGCCAGGTTTGGGTTCCTGGTGAACAGGAGGAAGTCCCATCTGGTTCCGTCTCAGGTTCGGACTTGGTTGGGTCTTGGGTGGGGACTCTCAGACCGCTTCCTTGTCTCTCCCTCCGGAGTCTCTGCTTCAGTTGGGGTCCCACCTTTGCATGTTTTTGGGGGAGCTCCCAAGGCACTTGGCGGTTGCTCGAGGGTTTATGCGGGAGCCTGAACTTTGCAGTGATGATCTACCCACTGGGTTGGGTTTGGCTTCTTCGGCTGTTCTGGTTCCTTTGAAGGGCGCTCCTTCGACGTCTTGCACGTGCGATTACTAGGTTCGGCCTCCAGGAGCCTTGCGTCAGTTGCTGCATCGCCGGCTTCCTCTTCAGGTTTTTCGAGGTTCGGTGTCTTGGGGCCTATCCGAGCCCTCGCTCAATGTATTCACAGATGCGTTGTCTTCTGGTTTTGGCTTTGTGACCAGTGTTCACCAGGCCGGCCAGGGGCGGTGGGGTCCGTCCTCCTATTTGGCCCACAGTACTGTGTGGGAGTTCGTGGCAGTGTGGATGTCACTTCGGAGGGTTCGGGTCGCTCACGGATTGATGATCTGGCTCCATTCAGACTGCTTCCCGGTGGTTCATTGCTTGAACCGTGGGGGTTCGATTCGGTCCTTGACTCTTTGGGGCTGGTTGCTTCGGGTGACTCATCTGCTGAGTTCTCGGGGTTTGGCTCTCCTGGCGGTTCACGTTTGGGGTGTGTGTAACGTCCTGGCAAACAGCCTGTCTCGGTTCATGTCCCTGTCCACAGAATGGACTGTCTACTCCGAGTCGTTCGATTGGGTTTGCCAGACGTATGGGCTCCCGGAGGTGGACCTCTTTGTGTTGGCTTAGTCGAGGCATCTCCCGGTATATGCGGTGCCCTTCCCCGACTGTGAGGCCATCAGGGTCGTTGCTTTTCGGCAGGACTGGTCGAGGTGGGGGTTACCTGCACCTCTTCCCCTCCTTGTTCCGCTGTTGCTCCAGGTCCTAGCTCGCTTGGAGACTTACCAGGGGAGAGTAGTCCTCTTGGCCCCCATGGTGGCTGGCCGGCCCAGCCTTGGTTTCAAGCACTGCTTGCTTGATGTCCGAACCCAGGGATGTTCCCCACGGCTCCGCCTCTTTCAGCAGATAGGTTCGGTCCATCACGTGGCTGGTTCGATCTTCTCCTCGAATCTTCGCATCTGGTATTTATAACTAGAGTCTATCACCATCTGTATGGTGATCAGGTGGTTTCATTAATAGTGTCCCACCTGCGTGCTTCATCTCGGCGGCAGTATGAAGTTTCCTGGTGGTCCTTCCATTTCTTTCTGTCTCTTCGTAGGTGTACTTTGCTTTCTGTTGTCTTGTCCTTTCTCTCGTGGCATTTTCAGGACCGTCATCTTATGCTGAATACTGGCACCTCGTATCGTGCTGTGCTTGTGGGGCCACTGCAGGTAGCTTTCGGCATTGATGTTATTTCTGCACCGTTTCGCAAGCTGTCTAGTGCATTGTTTCATCTCCGGCCTGCTCATGCGCCACCTGAGCTGTCCTGTTCTTTGGACAGGGTGCTCTCTTATCTCTCTTCCCCTCAGTTTGTAGTGGCCCCTTCGGTTCAGAATTGTTTCTCTAAGGCTCTTTTTCTTGTTGGCGTTGGCCTCTGGGGGTTGGGTCGTAGAGCTTCATGATCTCCTCTGGCACAGGGGTTTCTGCTCTTTTGGCTATGCGTTTCTGCTCTTTTTGGCTAATCAGGCTCTGTATAAACATCAGAGGTCTGCGGTTGTTCAACGTCCTACCAGTGAGCATCAGAAATATTGCCGGAACAACCGTAGACATCTTCAAGAGAAAACTAGATTGTTTTCTTCAAGGAGTGCCGGACCAACCGGGCTGTGGTGAATATGTGGGTCTTCTGGCCACTCCAAGCAACAGCCTGGTGGACCAAAAACTCTCACAATTCAAGCCTGGCCCCAGGCTGGGCTTGGGGGGAGTAGAACAACTCCCAGAACCCCATCAAGCAGGTATGGTGATAACTTTGTTCGTTTGCAGCCGTCTCCTTCTTTTCTGGTGAAGAATGAGACGTCTGCTTTTAGGAGGGGTCCTTGGGTTGTTGATACTTGATTGGTTAGGCCGGGGGTGCATCATGTGTTGTGTCCGGTTGTGGCTCTCCCCATTATTTACGTGCCTCAGCCTCTATGACCGGGGACGCGCATTGGGTTGATCCGGTTTCCCTTCTTCCCTGTTCTAGGGTTCGGGTCTCCCAGGTCGTCTGCAGGGTTATTTGGTCCAGCTAGCCTGTGGTCTATCCCTGTGCCCACGACGTTCGTAAGGTTGCTGCACTTGGTGCCATCTTCGGTAACTCGGTAACATGTCTTGGGCTGACATTAGGGTGCGAGGTTTTTGGCTGTCGATCAGGGAGCGCTACCTGGTCAGTGTTCCAGGGCCCCATCGGGCCTGTGTTGCATAGGGTCGGTGGTTACAGCCAGTTGTCTCGACTTCGAGTTGAGGAGCGAGTGCTGACGGCCTCCCGGGTAAGTCCCTTTTTTGTATTTTATCTTTGGGTAAGTATCTTATCTTCAGGGAGCCAAAGGGACTTCCCTCCAGAAAACCAGCATTGAATGTAATGAAATGCCATTTTCTGGGTGAGACCTGGAGGCTCCCTGGCATCTCTCCCTCCTTCCGGTTGGTGGTTTTTGCGTGTTTTGACATCCAACCTCAGAACTGAGGTGTGGGTAGCTGGTGTGAGGGGTCTGGGGGTTTCCCCTTTCCCCTCCTGGGGAGGAGGGATCTGCACTGATGGCGGTGTGGCATGTGGTGACATCATGCTCGTTTCCATTTGGGGAGTTCTGTCCACTCGTTTGACTTTCAGCAATAGTTTCAACCAGAATAGGGGGTTTGGTTTGGGATGCTTACCTTTCTGGGTGCCTGACCTGGTCGATGGCAGATACAGAATGCTCCATAACCACATGTGCATTTCTATAGGCCATTGCTCTTCATGCCTTTCTGAGGGGACCAGGGTCTGGCTCGTGGTCTCCGGTAGGCCTAGAACTCCATTCACATTGACTGATGCCAAAGTGTAATATATCCATATCAGCCTGGGTAGCTCCGGGGAGCCTCCGGGTCTCACCCAGAAAATAGCGTTACATTACATTCAATGATGGTTTTTTGCCCACAGGTAAAGGGATAATTTTGGTCTTAGCCACATTGTGAGGGTAAAATTTTAATTTAGTTTTATGACTGTTCTAATCATAGATATAAATTTTCAGTTTGACTGGCTCATATGGCCTCCCACCCAGACGATAAATTTCTACTTCATTCCCGCACCATACAGAGTGCTGTATGTAAACGTCATAACGGTTATATGGGATGTTTTCCTGTCATACATGAAACACAAGGTTGGTGCCATTGATTTGTTCAATAAGATACTTAAATAACATGAAATAAATTGTTACCACTCTGACATAGGCTTTCTTAGAAATGGTATATTTAGTCATTACTGGGAGGGCCCCTCTCAGCAGCTCAAGCATATCTGGGAGAGGCCCTCTCAGTAGCTTAAGCATATCTGGGAGAGGCCCTCTCAGCAGCTCAAGCATATCTGGAAGGGCCCTCTCAGCAGCTCAAGCATATCTGGGAGAGGCCCTCTCAGTAGCTCAAGCATATCTGGGAGAGGCCCTCTCAGCAGCTCAAGCATATCTGGGAGAGGCCCTCTCAGCAGCTCAAGCATATCTGGGAGAGGCCCTCTCAGCAGCTCAAGCATATCTGGGAGAGGCCCTCTCAGCAGCTCAAGCATATCTGGGAGAGGCCCTCTCAGCAGCTCAAGCATATCTGGAAGGGCCCTCTCAGTAGCTCAAGCATATCTGGGGGAGGCCCTCTCAGTAGCTCAAGCATATCTGGGAGAGGCCCTCTCAGCAGCTCAAGCATATCTGGAAGGGGCCCCTCTCAGTAGCTCAAGCATATCTGGGAACTTTGTTCCCAGATATGCTTCAATGTTATGTTCATTGAAGCATATGTTCAGATATGTTCCTCAGTAGCTCAAGCATATCTGGGAGGGGCCCTCTCAATAGGTCAAGCATATCTGGGAGGGGCCTCGCAGTAGCTTGAACAATTGCTTGAAGAAAATTTGGTACTTAAAGATAACAAAACAAATGATGCCTTCCACACAGTAAACATCCTAACCTAACTGTGTTGTGCTGTGTCATTTGGCACACCGCTGATGTTCTTTTGTCCTGGGCCCTCTTACCATGCTCTTCTTCTCCCACAGATAAACCCAGTCAATCTTTTCTGTTTTACTAATTATTTTCCTTTCCATAAAACCTGGTCTCTATGTAGGTGCCACTGTGAGCTTGGGTAGTTACTGATGGGGTTTCCCAGAAATCAAGTATTGGGTGTAATTAAACTACTTTTTCTGATGGGCTCCACATGGTTCCCCATTCCTGTTCGGTTCCTTTCTCTTCCTGTGGGGTTGGAGGTTTGGCACACATGGCTCAGGGGCGGGAGGAGGGGAATGGGAGGCTGGCTGAGTACTCGTGTGACCTGGATTGCTGCTTGGTGATGGTTGGGCAGATCACAGTTAGAATATATACCCTGTGGCAATAATCGTTTGTTGTGCTTACTCTGGGGTGCCTATTATCCATCAAGTAGTTGCTTGCTTTGTTGTGCCTGTTCTCTGGTACTGTCCTTGAGGCTTCCCAGGGTGGCTCCCTGAGCTACTGTTGTTGTTGTGCCTGTTCTCTGCTACTGTCCTTGAGGCTTCCCAGGGTGGCTCCCTGAGCTACTGTTGTTGTTGTGCCTGTTCTCTGGTACTGTCCTTGAGGCTTCCCAGGGTGGCTCCCTGAGCTACTGTTGTTGTTGTGCCTGTGTTCTCTGGTACTGTCCTTGAGGCTTCCCAGGGTGGCTCCCTGAGCTACTGTTGTTGTTGTGCCTGTTCTCTGCTACTGTCCTTGAGTCTTCCCAGGGTGGCTCCCTGAGCTACTGTTGTTGTTGTGCCTGTTCTCTGCTACTGTCCTTGAGACTTCCCAGGGTGGCTCCCTGAGCTACTGTTGTTGTTGTGCCTGTGTTCTCTGGTACTGTCCTTGAGGCTTCCCAGGGTGGCTCCCTGAGCTACTGTTGTTGTTGTGCCTGTGTTCTCTGGTACTGTCCTTGAGGCTTCCCAGGGTGGCTCCCTGAGCTACTGTTGTTGTTGTGCCTGTTCTCTGGTACTGTCCTTGAGACTTCCCAGGGTGGCTCCCTGAGCTACTGTTGTTGTTGTTGTGCCTGTTCTCTGGTACTGTCCTTGAGGCTTCCCAGGGTGGCTCCCTGAGCTACTGTTGTTGTTGTGCCTGTTCTCTGCTACTGTCCTTGAGACTTCCCAGGGTGGCTCCCTGAGCTACTGTTGTTGTTGTGCCTGTTCTCTGCTACTGTCCTTGAGACTTCCCAGGGTGGCTCCCTGAGCTACTGTTGTTGTTGTGCCTGTTCTCTGGTACTGTCCTTGAGGCTTCCCAGGGTGGCTCCCTGAGCTTCCCACTTTGAACCTTCAAAATCCTAGGTACCACACCAGTCTCCAAGGAATCACGTGCACATACTGGAGTTCAGGACCAGAATCTGTCCCCTTCTTCCCCCCCCCCCCGCCTCCCTCAGTAAAGATATAGGTGGTATAAAATATCCAAACCTTGATTCATTGTTGACCTTTCAGTGTAGAACAAGTTAAGTTTTTTGGGGGAGCCCCGTTGGCTCCCCAGAGCTATCCAGGCTGGATGGATATGCATATCTGTCTGGCATCAGTCAATGCATGGAGTTCTTGCCTACCGGGGACCGCGAGCCAGAACCTGGCCCCCTCTAGAGAGGCACGAGGAGCAATGGCCTATAGAGACCCCCCTGTGGTTGGGAGCATTCTTTGTCTGCCATCGACCAGGACAGGCACCCAGAAAGGTAGGCCTGCCAACCAACTCCTATTCTGGTAAAATTATCACGACTAAAAGCTGAACAGGTGGACAGAATCCCCAACGAAAATTAGCAAACTAGCGTGACATCATGATGTCGCCGCGCCGCTGTCTGCGCAACTCCCCCCCCCCATCCCTGGGAGGGGGAAGAGGGAGCCCCAAACCCATCCGCCAGTGACCCAACCCACAGTTTTTGGCTGAAGGGAGTCTGGTGCAGTCGTGGCTCTGGCTCCAGTTTTTATTACAGTTCTGTGCCTTGTGGTGTAGGCTGTCCCTTCAGGTGGTGCATGAGCCGGGAGTGATATTCCACGGTACTCGGGCTGCATGTACTTTTGCTCTCCTTCCCTAGGTGCCCTGTAAGTACTGCCCTAGGGGCTTGGGGCCACCTTCCACAAGTCACCTCAGGATTTACCTCCGCTGTGCCATTTACTGCTCGGTATTTGGCCGCCCTTGGGGTCAGCTGGGTTTTTTCTTACCGTTGTTTGTCTCTGGGTAGGGGTAGTTATCATCACTGGCAGGGGCGCAGGGTACTGCACAGCTAGTTTTCACCATTAACAGCAGCTGGCTCTATTCCGCCTGGGTACGCTGTCCTCTTGCGGGGGTTTTCTTTTGTTTTTGTTTTCTGCCTGGTGGGAGGGGGGTCTGCCATTGTAGTCCCTCATTGCTGTTCTTGGGGTATATATATATATCTTTCTTTGTGTTGGTGGTCCTCCCCGCTTGGCCCCTGTGAGTAGACACTCCCAAGGGGTTCAGCTTTAGGAGTTTGATTGGTAGACTTGAGCGCTGGTTTGCAGTACCCTGCCTGGGCTTCCTTTAGCGTGTTACCAAGGCTAAGGGCCCTGGAAAACCCCAGGGGGGCTACGTGGTCCGATGGATGTGACCCCTTGAGTCCCCTCTCGCGTCTTGTGAGTTTGAAGGTTGCTCTGTCCCTTTGTCTCGGGGTGACACTCAGTGGTTTTAGCTCCGCCATGCTGCCTGTTGGGTCAGTGATTGTGTAGACCCTGAGTCGTGCAATGTGTGCTGTCTATATGTACTCTAGTTCATCCAAGCCACTGATAATGATATGCAGGTGCAGGCAGCTATGGCGTTGCATGCTAGATTTAGGTTGCTGCAACGCTCTCGGTTGGTTGTTGTTACGGCCCTATTGGGTCGCAACTGGGTTCTTTCTCTGATGTTAGTAGAGTTTGGGTATCCGGCCCCAAGTTAGTAGTGGCTTTCAAGAGGTGTGTTCCGTAACGCAAGTAAATTAAAGGGGAAGGGATACAAACTAACTAAACTTAATATATAATTACCATCACCAATAAATAAATATATAAATTATCACACGGGGGGGGGGGGGTATAAACACTATAATGTACAATCTGGTCTGTGGTGTTTGTGTGTTACTGAGGAAGTCTTGGTTGTAGGGTTGATGTAAAGTCATGACTTGGTTACTGACTTTAATACTTAATATGATTACATGACTAGTAGCTACCAAGCTTGGCGGGCGTCCTGTACGCTCTTCTTTACCTTCTGTCTCTCTGGCGTCTCAGCCGCCGCACATAGAAAACGGATGGTACCATTTTCTGTGAACATGACATCCCTCCTTTTCTTTAAAAAGAATGAATACAGGATGTCTACCATGCGTGTAGCACAAAGCAAAGTTATTGACACAAAGTAAGTTATTAACATATCAAGAGATACTGCATACATTTAACATTAATTAAGCACACAAAGAATTTAAACAACTTAATCTTTTCCACAAAGGATTTCAATGTTAAAAATACATATGCAATGTTAAACAAACATGAAAGAAACTGTACTACAAAGTTACAAAATATTGAATGAGATATCTGCATTATTCAAACAATATTAAATTTAGTTTAGCATAAGTAAATACTTTTCATTACATAGGAACACAATTAATCATCAAATCGTGTAGGGCGTTTAACATGACGTTTAGGACGTGAGTCCCCAAATACAATAACATCCCTTGATGAATTGTTTGTCGGGTTATAACTATTTTTCTCTTTTTCTTTTGCACGACTTTGCACTTCATCATTTTCTACACTAGTTGGAATCACTTTGAAATAAGCCATATTACGTGTTATACTATGATCTCTATTACTAGCTGTTACCATAGTTCCTTTTACACTAATCACTTTATATGGTTTTGTATCATACGGCATATCTAACTTTCCCTCTTTTTTCTTTTTAACGAGAACAGTGTCACCAACCTTTATGAACTGTTCCTTTGCATGTTGATCATGAGCAATTTTCATTTTGCCCTTGGCTAGTGCATCCTTCTGAGCGAGACGTTTATCCGTTACCTCGGCTGGCATGACGGGTAGTGCGATTCTCATAGGACGTCCAAATAAAAGTTCGCCAGGCGACTTGCCCAGTGTTCCATGTGGTGTTGCACGGTAGTTCCTGAGAAAAGCATACATAGCTTGTTTCCAGGATCGTCCTTCGGCATGAGCACAGCGTACCGCTTTCAT